CAAAAAAAATCAGTCGGGATTTCGTTGGAAAAATTCCGTAAAGAAATTTATTTTATGTATTTGCGTTTTTATATCTTTATTGTATTCACTTTGTAGATATTAAATCCTTTTGTTTAGATCCGAAAAGACTTTATTCATAATTTGCAAAGGCATATTATCCTTTGCTTATTATGAATAGTTTATAAAAACGAAAGAATCGAAATAAAATGTAATATGCAATATTGAAGTCTTTGCTACTGTACATAGAATACATAAAAAAAAGAACTAAAATGAAACATCAGTATTGCTCCAAAGCTGTTGATTTTTATATTTACGATTGTTGTGTTTTTTGTTTCTTTGAAGACGTTTTCTCGTATTAGATTTCCAGATCACATTTTTAGTAGCAGTAGAGCTCCTTGTGGAAGAGTTCTTCCAGGGAAGTGCTGCCACCTTATTTATTTCTGCCGACAAGCGCAGTTATGAAAGTTAAGCGTGCTGTTGAAATTACAGGCAGGTACATGGGACTTGTCAACTTACGTCTCAGGGTGACGAGCGCAGTGGCAGTGCCCCTCAAATTTAAAGCTGCGATTTAAATTAAAATTTTTCTTCACTCAGCCAGGTACCTTTACAGTGTAAGGTTTATACCTGCCGTTTGTTTCAGTCATATTAGTCACTTTTGTTCATATTGTTTCATTTGAAATGAACTACTTTTCTTTGATCTTTATCGCGTATCGTTATTGTTTTTTCAAACCAACCACCAAAAAAACAAATACACGTAATTGAATGTCGTTTACCACCACCGGCGTGGCGAGATGGGACGATGCGAGATGAGAATTGAAATTTCGTCGGCTTATTTCCACCAAAAATAGCCATTAATAATAAATAATTCACGCGAGCTTAGGCTGTGATTGTGGATAGTGAAGATTCCATTCAATTCCTCTCGTGATAAACACGCGGCTGAGTAACAACGTCCCGTAATGTATTATTAAATATGTTAAGAAGAGTCAGATGAAGCCATCTTTTTTAAATCTCAGATCCCTCACACGTAGATACCCCACAATGTCGCAATTGATATTAATGATATTTAACTGCCTCCGTGGCCGAACGGTTACCATGGAGAAATATTTGTATGGCCTACATTTATTTCTCTCGTGAGTTTGGGTGTAATTTGTCGTGTGTGTCCAGGGCACCCGCGACACAGGGTTTCCCTAGTGCGGGGCTTTAAAAAATAAAAATTAAAAAATCCTCGTCTAGTCTCGCCTTGTCGGTAGAAAGGAACCTTTAGACTCGAAAAAATGGAATAATTTCCAAAGTATAGCAATTGCAAAAGCCTAAGAACTCAACATATTATTTTATTCATACAGTTCACAAAGATTCCATACGATTGATATTTGCACTTTTAACAATTTTCCTCTAGTTTTGAGTTCTTAATTTAGAGCCATGTAAACTTTATATGTAATTAACAAAGACCTATCCGTTGCTAATTATTAGTAAAGTAAATAAAAGTTGAGAGAGCCAAAATAGAATATTTTTTTATCATTTCCTAAATTATTTCGCTTGCAATAGAAATATAAACGACAAAAAAACGTTTCTCGAAAATTTCATATACCCACATAAGGGTACACATAAGGGTATTTTAAATTAATACTTTTTTTATTCGAATTTAACACTGCACACGGCTAAGAATTTGCTTTTTTTGTATGTTACCAAGTGATAATGATAAGTAATATAGCTTTAATAAACTGTACATACATTTTTCTACTTCCATACATTTTTATCCAAAAAAAAAATCCGTAATCAAAAAATCGGAGTGCACAAAAGGAGCCTCGTTTTCTCACATCGTTTCTTGGTACCATTCCTTTCCTGTACAACAACCTGTGTGTCATCGATACGATAACAAGAAAAATATTTAAAAAAAGTCGTAAAAGAATACTTGTTACTGTTATTTAGAACAATACCATGTTAGAGATCCGTGTCAGTTAATAAGAAGCTTCTATATACTATGGACTAATCATAAAAGAGAATTCACGATACCGTAAAATGTTCATACGACAACGTGGGCCTTAACAATATCCCTTCAAGTGCTACCGCTTCTATAAAAGATTTTTACACCCAAAATCGTACAAAGACGTGTCCACATTGAACCGTAAAGTCACGCGCAACAATAGTTCTTCAGTTCGTGACGCCTAATACCAAACAAAGGCTACGTCGCCCCACAAAACCTTTGAATCTGCGGAAACGTGCGCTACACACAGACAGGTGGTTCAGCAATCATTTTCAATTTATATAAATCTTACAATATTTTTTTATGATACCGAGGGACGGGACGAAAAAGAAAAAAAAGATAAACTGTTTGAGATAGAATATTGTTATAGGAAATGAAACTATTTTTCCGGATTTAAATCGCGTATATTTGTTTTTTCAAACAAACCGACGTTTCGGGCCCTTTACAGGTCCCATGGTCACGGTTGACCGTGAGTCAACCGTGTTAGTAGTTTCATTTCCTATGTGTAACAATCGCCAAAACCTAAGAACTCGATAGAATATTGTTGTTCAAACTAGATTTGTTTAAATCCTGGATAAAAATTTGAAAACAGCCTGCATTATGACGTGCATAACAATTATATTTTGTCGCTTCATTCTCGATATAATATTTAACCAGGTAGTTTCAAAAAATGTTTTGACGTTGACACTCCCTACCAGGCATCAACCGCCATTTTCTATCCTCATTCCTTTTAGAGTGAGAGCAAAACATATTTGGCAGTTTCAGAATCTTTACTTCTGTAATGACGATGTCAAGGGAGGGTGTGGATTATATCTTCGAATGAAGCGACTTACATAATAGTGATCGAACTTCACTTCAAGAAGTTCATTTGATCATCTATTATATTTCGTCGCTTCATTCTCGATATAATATTTAACTAGGTAGAGTTTTAGAGTAGTCAGTTTTGCTTTTAGTTGATTTTATGTAAATTTAAAACCAGAGGCATAATCGATAACTATATTATATTTTTATTCAAAATATATATTAGATATGGACATAAAACGGTTTTTCTCCTGAGATCACAATCATAACAATTTTTAAATCGTACAATCTTGTAATAATTTTATAAATAAAGATTATTATTATTATTAGTTTAGAATAGTATAATTTGCCATTTTATTATGTTGTAAGCAAATGGTTATTGCGAACATGTGTTCGTCTTCAGTAAGTATTAGTCTATTATAAAGGATGGTAAAGGATGTGATATGTCGGAGTCCAACTCGCAGCCTTGCGTATGAGCTCTATCGGCACCTCAGCCGCGCGCGCGGCCATCATGGAGGCGTACCGCGTGGTATGCGCGCCGAAAACTGCTGTGCCCATACCCGCCGCGCTGCATCCAACACCTGCCGCACACATCGGCTCACGGTCTGACTCGTGGCTACTCTGTGGGGAGCTCTGTGTGTCAGCAAGAGCGTTCCCTGACGTCCAGTTGTCTTATTTTGTGTTAGCCAAATATACTAATGTTTGAAAACTGCGACAAGGCAAATACTTGGATGCTCTCTAAAATATGAAAAATTTAATTTGTGCTGTACGCGACCAGGCGCAGACGTTTTGATTGAATCAGGTATTGCAATTTTAATCGGAATATCTGATATTTGTATGTTTTTCATTAATCAATGCCAGTTTGTACGCGGTGTGCAAAATGCAAGTAAAATAACATGTTTTTTCGTAAGTTTTTCAATAGGAAGTTCTGTGTTGGGAAACCACGTTGAAACTAATGCGAGAACGACTTGGGGATTCTAAGTATTGCTATACTTTGATGCACTGGATTTCAATCTAAATGCGCCCATATATAAGTAATCATTTTATGCAGACGTCTGAGCCTGTTTCAGGCTATAAAAGAGATAAAGCAGAGCGATGACTGTTCAAGGTTCCATACGAACTTATAATTCCTGCGTTAAGAATTTTATTATTTGTGTCATTGGCATGTTAAAGGGATTTAGACTGTTATTATTGCAAAATTCCCACCAGAGCTTTAGGGACACATTAAATTGTCTAAGTGTATTTTAAGAAAGAGAAGCTAAGTGTAAAGTCATCGCCTCTTGTGGGACTCCGCGGGAGGCGAAGGGCGCGCTGGTAACAGCAGAAAGGGTATGGCTGGTGTGAAGTCGATGAGGCCGCCTGCAATAACTATCTAACTAACAATAACTACCTGGTTTAATATTATATCTTCGAATGAAGCGACTTACACAATAGTGATCGAATTTCACTTCAAGAAGTTCGTTTGATCATCTCAAATTCATTACAAAATAAAAGAAAGAAATACTGATTCTTGTGCGATATATTACCGATTCAGTACTCGCAATAAAAAAAATGGCGACACAGCTTTAAAAACTGAAATAAATATATCACGGGGAGGTTTATCAAGAGTTCATTATACATAACATGCCATGCTACGTCCACAGATATATTGTATTGTCACTGAACTTTTACAAGATTGCGAGGTTTCAGTCTGACACAATATTCAGAATCGAGTGACAATTGTGTTATAAGAAAGTTATAAAACAAACTTAGACGAAGAACTTAAAACTTAAACGAAGTTATAAGATTAAATGAAAATTTGAGTTTACTTCGTAATTTCTTGCTTAAACTTAGACAAAGTTTGTTTTGTAAATAAGTACGAGAAACTTGCTAAGCCCGCCATTTTTGCTTAGTCGAAATCAAAATTCGTATCATAAAAGTCAAATGAAAGCATACCAAAAAGATTTTTAAGGAAACTGCATGTCGCAAAAGAAACCTCTCGAATATATACCGCCCCCTTTACAACAAATAGTCGTTACTTATAATTTGAAGAAAATAAGTTTTTTACATTGTTCGATTCAGGTATTATAAGTCCAGCTTCAATTATAAGCAGTTAAAGCTGCAATCCATACACTATAAAAATCAATTAATGAAACTAATGATAGTGAGCCATCCTGCTTTACGACCGTTCCGACAATGTGTGCATCGAAATCGCGACTCATGATATTGTCATTACCTTCGACAGTAAACCGCGCGAGGTTTCTGTGCTGCGAGAGGGCGCCGTCATCGATCATCGATATGTCGTTATCGTGAAGGAGCAGCTCTTGCAGCTCTCCGAGCGACTTGAGAGGATCCGCCGATAGCGACCGAAGGAAGTTGTGCGATAGATCTAAGTGGATAAGATTTGTGAGCGACGCTAGAGATGCACCTGCAACAAACCACATTTAGTTATTACATTAAAAATAAAAATAAAATTTATATTCAGTTTTATTTATTGAGGTATATTTATATTAAATTTATTTATTTTGGTGTATATCATGTTTAAGTTTTTAAATTTGTATACGAATATTGTAAGATACACACACAAGCAAAGAGGAAAAAAGTAGCAATTCTATTAACATCTTTCGACGTAATGCCGCCTTATAATTGTTAACCTATAATATATGTGACAGGGTTTTGCAAATGTGTGCATTCCTCACGATGTTTTTCACCACTAAAAAGCGCATGGTAAATTTCAGATAAAATTTCGCACTTAAATACCAAGAAAGCCACATGTTTGAAAAGCGATAGTGACGTATCGCCTTTCAACTATGGGAATTTCCGTTACCGTAACCGAAAGGCTACCACGGCTGTACATACTGCCTAAGCGCGTGTACCCACACGCATCAGCCACTGCATCCGATTCCGAATAAGAGACATACAAATGTAGAAACCTCGGACCCACTTCGGATGTCGCTTGTGCACTAAGTCCAATTCAAATCCGAGAAAATACAATGTCGCTTGTACACTTAGAAATAAAATGATCCCTGTGACATTTCGGACCGTCATTTCTCGAATTCGGAACTGATACGAATCGGACGTAGTGCGCCAACGCTCTTAAATTCAACCTTTATTGAAAGAATCCAAAATAAAGAAAATGCATTTTTTTGCATTGATTTTTTTTATTTTTTATTGTTACTCGGTAAATTGACTGCACCGCGCCTGATGGAAAGTGCGAATACAGTCCAGAGCTGAGAGTAACGGATGGAAAACACAAATATCTTCACTCCGTCACTATCATTTTGCCGGTCTGGCCAAATGCTTCTTCACACCAAGTTTGAAGGACCCGATGTTATAGAGGGGAGGGAATACATGCGCCGGGAGTTGGTTCCACAATTTGATGGTTCGGCATAAAAACGAATTGCCAAACTTTTTAGATTGAATAAAATTAAAAAAAAAATTAAAAATAAAGCATTACTTTGGGATTTTTGCTACTGTTCCGCTAAATGTGCCTGTGAGTGTATTGTTTTTATACAATAAGTGCCCTCTGCTCCTCTTTGCTATGTACTTAATTATCATAAGATGACTAAAATGCTATTTAAGATCATTATGAACTTTACGTAATGTCATAAATGTATTGATGAAACACTTTTATAAAGTAAAATCGTCTCTATATAAAACCTCGCATCAAAAAACAATTACCACTTCTTTTTATGTATTTCTTACACACATACTCCCGGACACATAATTCGAGGCACCTTGCATTTTGAATATTAAATGCCCTTCTTGATTGAATATTTATTATGCAACTTTGAAACTGGTATGCTAAACGTCATTTCCTTAAGTCCTTATTGAAACTTTGAATTTAAAAAACCGGAGAAAGGTTTTTCTTCGACGATAACTGTGTTTTTATGTTCTAGCCCTTTAAGGATAAAAGAGCAAGGTGCCTCGAATTATGTGTTCGGGAGTGTATACATTCCTTGGCGTATCTTGATTACCCAAGCTTCCTTTGAAAGAAGGATGGCGACATCCCGTGTATTTTATGACCCAGTGTTTTTGACGATGTACACTAAAGAGACCTACCAATACTTGTAATTCATTAGCATAGCATCAAAAAAGCTAATTGGGTACAGCCTGTAGAAGCTGGGGATATAAAGTTGATATAGGTTATGTTTATGACATTGCCTTGTATTTCGCTTCAGATGTTTGTTCGTAGTAGCAGAAACAACAAGTTTTCAGTTTATTCCTAAAAATAATAAAAAACTTGCTGAATATTCTTAAATCTGCCATATTTAATACAACGTTAACATGTTCTCTGGCAATGAAAATTAATAAAAATTTAATCTGTCCAATTGGCAGAAATCTGCCACAAATGTGGTCACATTATTCTCAATCCAAAGTAACATTGACATTGGCAAGAGGCCTCTTCTCAAAACATTCCTTTGCTAATATTCGTATCTCTCATTTAAACATTGTCTAAACATTTATGTCACATTGTTTTATTTTTTACTTTATGTCATTATTGTTTAATTGATTATTTGATTAGGTTTTTAAAGCTTTAATGTTTTGTGTGTACCATAAAATAACCAATACTTTAGGTAAGTAAACATTCAATCATGCTTAAAATGAAACGTACGTACAAGAATGTTATCTAATCTATGGTCGAACTGATTCAATTGCGTTGTGTTGTTGCGTCTATTCTCAAATACATTGTTTTATAATTTCTTTATTCCCGACTCCTAAAAATATACAAAAAATATATTAATAACTAGGCATAAACTAAAACGTAAAATTATACTAGCAAAGTCCATGAACGGCACTTCGTTGATTTTGGGTCAGCCTTCGCCATCCTTGTTTACAAATGTATGAAGTTTTTATCGATTTTCTAAAATAAATTAGGAGACAAATGAGCAGACAAGCCACAAGATGGAAGGTGGTCATCGTCGCCCATGGACATCTGCAACGTCAGAGAAGCTACCTATGCGCATAGGTATATGCGTTGCTTGCCTTTGAAAGCCCTATTGACTCACTTTTTGAAAAACTGCAAGTCATAGTGCAAAACAAATACGTCAGGAGGGAGACCATTCCATATCTTGCAGATTAGAGAAAGAACGAACGTGATACCCTGATGTGGATGAGTATAAGGGAAATGACACATTATTAAATTTTGTGTTGTTATTCTTTCTCAAACAAATCACTCTTATCGATACGGTCCACGACTCACACTACAATTTCTACTCATATTAAGGGCTGTATTAATAAATCTGTCTCAAGTGCAGGATCGATATATCTTACTTAAGCCGTCTTTATTAATAAAAATCACTTGAGTGAACGAACGATAAATTCATTGATTTATGATTACATATACAAGTTACAAGGGAGGTTTGATAAATACGTGGCTTTGAGGTTAAATAAAAACTTTTTTCGTAATTTAATTTTTCTTTCTTAATTAACAACTCTTTTTAAATTAGGGCGAAAATAAAAAAAAAAAAAAGTTACATTATATTATACACAAGTTCATACTATTTTCACATGCACTAAATACTTGCGGTCAGAAATAACGTCATCACGAGTTGCTGTTCATAGCATCATTTGATTAAAATTAATAAACATATTTCAGACATCTAATAAATGCGGAAAAAAGGGAACACAAGTTATTATTATTGTTTCCCTAATAACTTGTGTTCGCTGTCAAGTTTTTCAAATCAAACATAACATAATGTCACTGTTCATGGGCGTCACTGTGGTTGATGCGGCTTTACCGAAACACGAATTGGCATTTTGGGAAGGTTGAGGAATCGGAATTGCGAGCTCAGACATAAGCTATGATCTGATAAAATGAAAGACAAAATTGAGTCCCTATACGATTTTTTTTATAGTATTAAGTGACGGGACGAACAAGTCGTCGCCTGATGGTAAGCTACACGCGTGTCCATAACAGTTGCAGTGCCACGCAGAGCTTTAAATCGCAAAGATCTGTGGGATACGGCCACTGCGCGCGTCACCTTGAGACATAAGTTGACAAGTCCCATGTGCATGAAATTTCACCATCACCCTTACCCTTCAACACCGGAATACAGTAATGCTGACATTACTGCTTGGAAGCAGAAATAAGTAAGGTGGCAGTACTTACCTAGACGAACTCTTTCACAAGGAGCTCTACTGCTACTAAAATTCCAATTCCTCGGCTGTGTTCGGCCTTAAATGTGTTAAATCATCTACCTGATAAATTAGGTGTGTTTGAAAATTCTTTATTTATTTAGGGGCTTTGATCGTTACTGAACATGTCAGCCCCACTAAAAAAACAATACCTCAAGAAAACACTTAATAAAATCCAGACAGATAAATCAAAATACTACCTAATCAAACATGTATACAAAATCTTCGCGGCACTACATGTTGGCTCCGACAAAACAGATTGAAACCACCCAACATTAAATGTACGGAATTGAATTTGTGTAGTGTGTATTTCCCACAACATTTTTGATATATTAACGCGAGGAATAATAAATAACTGGCTGTTCTATTAGTAACAATAGTCGTCTAGTCACTAATCCACTTAACATAAAATGCATACGCTAGATATACTTAAAAGATTCCGGTTGACATTCAAAAATAGCCATTTACGAGGCTTAAAATTATGATGACATAAAAACTACATACCAAAGGTTATTGTTATTACGATACAGCTTCTGGATACTTGAATGACTAAAGTCGATGGTAGTGGATCGTTTAGCTCTTTCATATTGTTTCTATCTATGATATTTCAAATAACAATTGTAATTGTGTAATAAAATTTGTGGTTGTCTATGTGTATGTCCGCAACACAGAGTTAGGGCGGGGTTATTGAGAGTGTGCGTTTAAAAAAAATAGAAAATTCTATTTTAAAAAATCAACCTCTAGAGTTTCTCTTCTCAGGGGAATTGGAAATATGTAGTAGTATTTAATCAATAAGGTGATTTCAAGTGTCTTTTGCATACATGTATAATCTACTATAAAATATTTTTTTAAGTTTTTTTTTTTTACGATATCAAGTTACGGGGCGAACAAGTCTTGTACATGAAAGTAAGCAACACACCTGTCCATAACTGATGCAGTGCCACTTAGAGTATCAAATCGCAAAGATCTTAGGGGCCCTGTCTCTGCACCAATCACCCTAAAACATAAATGATAAGCCCCATGTGCCTGTAGTTCCACCGTTAGATTTGAAGGTAAAAACTAGGTTTCGTATATTGAGTAAATTAGTAAAGTGATATAACAAGTGTAACCTATATAAAAAAAACAAACACCATTGTATTACTTGGAGTGTAATAACAACAACAACAAAAGACTCTATTTAGTAAATTTTATCACATTCGACTATTTATTCGTGTAATGCTTTAATCAAGGCTAAAGTAGCTTTAACGTTTTAAATAGAGCTTGTCCGACCAACTTAGCTTTACAGTTGGAATAATGATTATAGGAATATTTTTAAAACGTAAAGTTATATGAAAGCATTTCATTTGACTGCACATGTAAGTTTGTACAATTGTACCTTCCTTTATTTCCGCTGCTGGTTCCCTTCCGTATTTTTTTTTTACTTAAACGGAAATTAAAATGTCTCAAATCGTCGCACAATAAAACCTTTTTTACAATGGATACTAATCACAAGCTAGACATGCAATTTCCCATTAATCTTGGAGTGATGGGAACAAATAACGACATTAGGTACAATGGACTATGATATAAGTTCGATTATTCTGCATTACGATCTTGACTCTCCTCCCTCTTCATCTGAAGTTACTCGGCCATCGCCCGCACAGTACCGTTACCACAACAGTCACATTGTCATTAAAAGACGACAAATGAGGAATTTTTGATTATCATTCTGTTTTAAACAAAAAAATAATATGTATTTTTTTATACTGCTTACTGCAAATATCAAAGATTCCGAGTGCCACTACTTGACTTCTTCTTAATCGCTTCCTCACTGCTGAGGATCGTGACTCCACCTCATCCTGCCAACCATTTGCCTAGATCGGTTGCGCTCTGTTACATGATGTAGTGTAGCGCTAATAGGTAGCTCTAGTTGTTCAGAGATCTAATCACCACCACCACCACCTTTTGGGGCTCCTGCCCCTATGTCTCTTTCCCTCCACCTTCCCAGTCACCGTCAAACGCTCCAGGTTATCAGCATCTCTACGTGCCATGTGACCGAAATAGCGAATCACACGCTGCATGCAAATTGAACATGAAGACTTTACTATTTAACAGACGCACGTAAATTGCAGCCGGATCGTCAATGTTTACAAATCAAAGTAATTTACCTAACGTCACCTTACGTCAAACGACATTATCATTAGGTGTTTTAAAATTAGGTAAATCGTCTTTATATTCACTAACTTTAGGACAATCGACATTAGTGTCATTGACATGTAACCCATTATATATCGATTTCCATTTGTTAACCCATTTGCATTCTTTTTTACGACATATGTACATTCGCACTTGTTACCTTGGTTTTTTACTTTCCCCAGTTAAACGCCACGACTGCTGTACGTTTGATGAAATATTGTATATAACCCGGATCGATCATGACCCATGCGTAATGTGATCGGATCAAATGATTCGATCATATGGTCGATCCTTTAGCGGGTCACTCGTCAGTCACGATATTTCTTGTTTTTCTATTTCTACTCACGCACTTACATTATTTTAAAAAATCAAAAAAATTCCATATGGCGTTTTAAAATGTTACAATTAGCTTTTATTCTTCCCTGCTAACCTTAAACCTTCAAAACCGGAATGCAGTAATGCTCACATTACCCCTTGGCGGCAGAAATAGGTAAGGTACTTTCCTGGTCGAACTCTTTTCGACGAACAACTCGTGCGCTGATAGTAAAGGACTTGTCAACGTATGTCTCAGGATGATGAGCGCAGTGGTAATAGCCATTATTTAATTTTTAATATCAGTATTATTATTATTTTATGTAAGTAAATAGAAATGCTACAATATTGTATTGAGACGATCCTGTAAAATAACTGTGTATATGAAATACAATAAATAAAAGTTTTTTCTTTACGTTATTTACAACTTATAACAAGGCCTTGTACGAACTTACCAACAATATTTTTAGCTTGGCCATATCATAAAGTTTTTAAGAACTAAATATACTGAAAACACGAACATTGATATTAAACGTCAATGCTAGCACGAATTCTTAAAATTCAAAGGCAAAAATCTCTGTATGAGTTATGCTTGCAATTGTACACTAATTATATTACATTATATTATTTGTTTATGTAGTACTATAAAGTGATTACACACCTATACAGAGTGCGCCATCAAAGTTGTCAAAAAATTAATAACAAATCGTACTTGAAATTAAAAAAAAATAACGTCTACACACGTTTATGTTTAAACAAAAAAGAATTAGACATTATATAGCAATTAAATTAAAATCTCATCAACTTATATAATATAGCTGGTAACGCTAGATAGGTTATGTCTGAGCTCGCACCTCCTTGTCATTTCCCATCCCAATGCGTGTTAGACCACAGCCGCAAGAACAGCCGTTTTTTTTTTAAATTGTAGGTAAACAAAATGATTCGCTCTGGACCTTTTGGAGGGAAAAGTGTCGTTTTTATTTAGACTTTCAATTATTTTGTGAAATCTAGTTTAAAGTGGAATAGGATAGTGCTATTGTGCCTTAATCGAACATTAAAACGCGAAATTATAGGAATCTCGAACTAGAATACCCTTATCGGCCTGTTTTAAGGAATCCCGAGTCAATCCAAGCACGCCGCCTCAAATTGCCTATCCTCTTTATGGCGGCCATATTTACAGAAACATAATTAAACTTCATATTTAGGCTGATGGCGTTGCCAAAGCCTTAATAAATTAATTAAAAAAAAGTAAGCAAAATTAATTTTTCTTTGTTTCTGTGGCAAGATACAGCTGAATTTTTTTTGGTTAACATTAATTAAATCAAACTTAAAAAATAAAAACCTTTTTCAACTATAAAGTTTACGAAATTTACAAGAACGAAAAATCAACCTCGAACTATTCGATCTGTATTAGCAGGAAATTAAAAGTAATAAATGAAAAAAATGACAGTCGACTAATTTTTTATTTAGAAATCAGACCTAAAACAAAAAAGCCAAATAACCGACCAGACTTTTCAAAAGTACTGCCTTATTTTTGGGGTTTTTTCCGCTAAACATGCCAATGTGTGTACCTTACTCTCACTAATAACAAGTAACGTAACACGTTTACGCGATCATAGAAACAATATTATCTGGGTCTGAATCACTTCACATATTATGTACATTTTAATGTATACGGGGCCTTAGGAGTTGAAACACAAAGCCAACAAGTATTTATTTTAAGGTTCACCCCATATTAAATAAAGTAAGGAAAAGAATGTCTGTCCCTCTGTCAAGCGGATGTCCTCAGGATACAGTAAGATAAATGAATGCGAATATCTTCACCTATATATTATACTTCTTCAACTTTATGAAGCATTTTTCACTCGCCTTTGCGAAATATTTGTTGATATCGTTAAGATAAATGATGCTGTTTAAAACAATAGAAGAACCTTGAATAGTAACATTGCTACTTTGACTGCGCTGTCCGTAGAGATATTCCCTCGTACAGGTATTAGGACACAAGGGGCACAATAGTGCATGGACTATGCAGCAGCATGGACTGTGTTAGGGCACCGCAGTCACATCGGGTTAAACTAGCATATTATAACCATGTTATATAACAAGATACGTTATAGTAACGAATTGTCTTTATATTTTCCTCACCTGATACAGCAACAATTTCATTATGTGACAAGTCAAGATGTGTCAGATTGGTGATATGCCTGAACGCGTAATCTTCCAGCACGTCGATTTGATTGTTGTGTAGATTCAGATGAGTCAAGTTTGTTAGACCTGCAAAGAAATAAGAAATATGAACGTCTTCAATAATTCGTGTCGGCGTGTGTACTATACGGATTTATTTACGCGAGTTGAAAGAATAACACATCATGACAGAAGCTTTACGGGAAGGGTACATTAATAATTTCAGAGAGATAAAATGTCACCCACTCGTTCTTTATTAATGTAACTGTGTAATGAATATTTTGATATTTGAAAACCAGAAAGTGCAATAAAACAAAACACAAGTCAACAGCACATCAAGCTGTGTATATTAAAATCTTTTTTTTTCTTATTAATTTTACTACTATTAGGTACTGTAGAATAGGCAGTATGAGTAGAAATACTGGCTGAAAGAATGTAGGTTTGTGTTTAGAATTGTACAAATAAATAGAATTGAAAAAAAAAAGAAGAATATCTTGGTGGTTCTAGAACAGACTTCGAACTGAAAATACGCAATAAATATTTATCCATGAATATAATCGTGGTTTGTATTTGAAAAATGCCTCACGTTAACTTAAGCTACGTCTCTCCCTACAAGTAGTGGAGGCGCCTTATTTGGAAAAAAATTGTACGATTTTATGGAAAAGTCTCCGAAGGAAGGAAGAACAAACTATATATAAGGTATAAACGATATATAAGGCCGTAATTTTTATTTTGTTGTATTGGTTTTTATTTTGCCTAGTGAAAAGGGCAAGAAAGAATATGAATCGTATCGCCGCGCAGAAGTTTTCTGGCTTAAACGGCGTTGACGAGTTTCTAAATCAGTTTGAGGCTATCAGCGTAATTAATATAATTAGCCAGCTCTTCAATAGTACAAAACCAATTTCACCTCATAAGCGACATATGACATAATTGCGCAAAAGCTAAAAGAGGAATTCCCGTGGCAAATAAACTATGCCCAAGAGTTCTAATATAGACGACAGATGCCTAACGAATCGATGTTAATCTATTTTTATAATTTAGATAATTTAACAACTACAGCAAAGATACAGGACGATGTAAAATTTATCAAACAGTACCTGAAGTCTTTGACAGCGATCGATCATCAATGGGTACTTGCTAGCAATTTGTATTGTCCAAGGAGAAGTTAAGAAAACCAGTTATGCAAATAGAAGATATATTTAATCACGAATACAATATGGGACAACAAGGTTTTGAGTTACCAGTATGTTTTCCTAAGGAGCACTCTCACTGTTGGCAACATAGATATAGAAACTATATCTATGGTTAACAGGCACAGTGTGATTCTTCACCGATAGTTGGACCCGAGTCTATACAGTCGGAATATCAATCAGCACAGGCACCAATCGTACAGGATTCACCACGTTAAGTGTATTCACAAGAGCAAAGGAGTGGATCTTCTTCTGGATCTCCTCAACGTGGATGTCAACAAGGCGAATCTGATTCTGATTCAGGAAATTTATATACAATTGATAGTCTTGGGTTGTAGACTAGGCAGTATGATTAGAAATACTGGCTGAATGAATGTAGGGTTGTGTTTAGAATTGTATGAAAAAAAATAGGAATGAAAAAAAATAACATCATGGTGGTACTAGAACAGGCTTCGAACTGAAAATACGCAATAAATATTCATCCATGAATATAATCCTGGTTTATATTTGAAAAGTGCCTCACGCTACCCCAAGTTACGTCCCTCTCTATAGTACTTATTTAGGTATATTGGGTACTACTATAAGGTTCTTATTTTTAAACGCCTTCAAAAAAGGAGGAGGTTCTCAATTCGACTATGCTTTTTTTTGTATGTATGTTACGCGATAACTCCGGTATTTGTGAACCGATTTTCATGATTCTTTTTTGTTGGAAAGGGGGTACTTCCATAGTGGTTCCATTTCATTTTGGAGAAAATCATCTACCTCTAAGGGTGGCTTTTCACGCATGAAGATTCATTTTTATAAATAGAGCCTAAATTTTACTTAGGAACAAGTGTTTTTATGGTTGATTTTGCTATTTCTCTCAAAACCGATTTTTATTATCACCCGTGTTTTTTTTTTTTTTTTTGGAGATCCGGAAGAAGATCCACTCCTTTGCTCTTGTGAATACACTTAGTCCCGTATAGTGGCGAACTAGGGGATATTTCAACAAAACTTAGCAAATAGACGTAATTCCACGTACTTTTGAGGTCGGTTTTTTTACTGAGATTATTATTGAAATATCTAATATTTACATGTAACACTGCTATTACAAAAGTGTCGCAGGTCAAAATTGAGAAAGCACGAATTTTTTTTTTTAAATACCGAATTAAACCAATATATATATTCTCGTTTATAAATGGATAATTAGGTATGATGTAATAAAAATATTCACTTTATTTGCAATGAGTTCCATTCAGTTTTTTTTTTAATTTCAAATTGTGTTGTCTCAACCACAATTTTGAGTTACGACGCTATTGTAATTGCAGTATGATATATTCGTAAATTTATTGTAATTTTCAGGTTACTTTTCTGTATCTAATTTCAGAGGCAATTTCTATTATTTAAATATAGTGGAACATTATCATGAATTATTATTTAATATTCGCATGATATAACCTGAAATATTACTAAATTGTTTACGATGATGTACTTGAATACTTGCATTGTATAATAATAATAACGTAAATATTGAGACGCAGAACTTTAATAAAAATTGCCACCAAAGTCAGGTAGCGAAAACTAATCAGAAAATTACACGTGAACATTTACATTTCATTGCACGCGACTGTGTACGCAAAATTTTTGAACCAACTATGTTAAACTATACAAACAAAAGTTATATTAAATTGCGTTACACTACCAAAACTCGTTCCATATCCTTTTATTATCAATCACAGTAACGAAGGTATCTGTCTAGACAAAATCTAGAGTACAATAACCTCTAAAGATGCTAATACAAATCCAATCCTTTTAGTGTTCTGGATCACGAGAAGGCAAACTACTTTTTGAATGCGTTCAGATATTGATATGGTGTGGTTGTGTAAATCGACTTTGTAGAGTGGACATTTTTAGTTCACTTTACAAATAGAATTCTGTTAAACCTGACAATGAGATACGGTAAGCTATTGCTTACAAAAGTCCACGCTGCTTAGTCAAAATAACGATGTCCGTCCCGTCACTTTAATACCAAGTGACAGGACGGACAAGTCGTGCGCCTGGTGGCAAGCGACACGCCTATCCATAACAGTTGCAGTGCCACTCAGAACTTAAAAATTGCAAAGATCTTAGGGTTACTACCACTGCGCCCGTTACTCTGAGACATAAGTCAATGAGTAATTAATAATTAATTGATTTTTAATTGTTTAATTATTATAAATTAATAGATTTTATAACACTTTAAATTTGACAATAATTTTACAATTAATTCATTTGACTTTCAGAATATATTTGCTTCGATTTATTTATTTATTTTCATAGTAATAATATTATAATTAATGGTAATCAAAATATATAATATATCTTAAAATTGACATTGCTGCGCCCTTACAAGGTACATGTTTGATACTTGTAAACTCCTATAAGACCTATATGTAACAACATGTTTTGCAATAAACAACATTATTATTATTAAGTTGACAAATCCCATGTGCCTGTAATTTCCCCAGCACCCTTACCCTTCCAAACCGGAAAGCAGTAATGCGAAAGGGACTATGAATGAGTGGGTTATTATATTACATAGTAGTATTATATTAATGAATACACTCGGTTCAATTCCAGCGGGATTGAAAGAATTTTTCTTAGTGTTCGATCTTTGTACTAATAATTAAATTATAATAAACTGGTTAAGAAATTTTACAAAAATAATTGAAGATCATGATAGTAAAACACCATTCAATAAACTTAATATAACAAATATAAGATATTTAAATCCGAAAAAAATTCATTTCTAAAACATATAGTACCCAAAAAATTAATAGAACCGTGGTAGCCTAATGGTTTGACCTACCACCTCTCAAGCATAGGTTATGGATTTGAATCCAGGCTCGCATTTCGCTTTTCGATGAAGGAAAACATCGTGATGAAACCTGCGGAAGAAGGTTCACAACACTTGGAAAACGTGTGACCTGATAGTGTGACAGGAGACCGGTGCCCATAAGTGGGACGTATAAAAAGGGCTGATGATGATGATTACTTATTGGTTGTTAAAAAACAATTTGCTTTTGCTTCGCATTGACAGGCAACTGATGTGAACGGTATGCCTTTGCTCGTTGTTGGGGCAGTGCAGTTGTATAGGCCTAAAAGCCGAAATTCAATTCAAATTCCAATATCCTGTTTGTTGTTAGTTATGCAACCCGACCGAAATTTCTGTTGATCTGCTAAACATTGAGGCAAAGAGCTTAGGTATAGTGCAGATAAAAATATGTCACATTTATATTTAAAATAGGTAAAATTATTTCAGTAAAATCGCAAAAAATCTCTCCAATGACGTTTTTGTGATTATGATTGATGATGGCAACGGTTCTCGTCGGGCGCGAGCGGGGTGACGTAAGACGGCGGGGAGCGGGATCTAAGTTCAGATATTTCGGTTGGGTAGTAGTAAATGTCAGTAAAATCACGATCACACGTACCGTACAGCTTATCCATTAAGTTAAAGTGTCAGCGCCTAGTCAAAATTTGGGTACTAAGTGTTAGTACATGTTAAAACACTTAGAACATTTATATGAAAGAACTTAGATATAAAGCCCATATATTATATATTATATATTATATTCAAGACCTATATGTGGAAGGAAAATGTAAAAATAAATTAAGGAAGTACTTACTGGCTAGAGAGAATCGCTGTGGACAGATAAACCCTTAGTGGTTTTTGAGCTACAGCTGCTTGTAATATGTGTAAGTTTTTGTAAAAGTATTAAATAAATTTAAAAAAAAAAAATGTACCAATGTACCAGGATATAAAAACAAATATACGCGATTTGGAGCACGTTACTTATCTTAAAAATAGTCATTATAGCTACCTGCTAAGGCCCCTCGGCGGATGCTAGCAAAAGTGTTGTCAGAAAGCTGTAAGTTTGCCAAGTGACCCAGAGCAGGCAATGTGTTGGGACCCAGTGGACCTTCTAGTGCGTTGCTGGACAAATCTAAATCCCGCAGCATGTGGGCTTCCTAAAAAAAGCATGTAAGACTTAATTATAAATACATCAATAAGTATGCCACACATTCACTCCAATTACTTGGTCTCCAACTAAGAAATTTAATATACTAAGAGCACAAAAATCTGATCTTGCTGTCGAGTAGGGCTAGCACGACACAGCGCGACTTGTGCAAGAACGACGTAAAGCGCGAGATACTGCTATTCTCGCATAAAGTTCGCTATGTCGCTCTCGCGCAAGTCCTTAATAGACCTACTGAGCATTTTTAATTAGCCAATTGTATCCCAATGCTGGATAAAAGTATATCCTCTCGACTTCCACAGCTCCGTTTTGTCAGGCTTGTCAGGCTAGTCTCTTATGTACGCGTCCATGCCATCCCGCCATCTCTTTCCTGTAGGGCGAGCACGATAGGCCGCGACTTGCGCGGGATCGCTATAAGAAAATAGTCGGGACCAATTGTGCCAGCCCTATTGGTCTGCTTCCTCATCATACCAGAGTCCTTAATTTTTAGAAAATTACATTCGAACCTTTCATCTTTAATGGGCACTTAATCGTTTAGTCATCGAGATCATAATCAAATTAAACATAATGAATTTACTTATTTAATTACATCGACGGCTTTGGAGCGTCTTATCTCAAAAACATCTCATGATCTCGATGATCCCAAGGGCTCTGGATAGGGTTTTTTTCCAATACGACCAGTGCAGTGGTCTAAATTGATTCTGATCTTGGTGTTCTGGGTTGTGAAACGGAGTGAATTCTGTTGAACTGGTATTCATAGTGCAGTTTTCAATTCCCCAATTTTTTATTCTCCAAATTGAATAATTAGTGTGATTTTTATCACGCATCTAACTCATCAAAAAGATATACCGGTTCAATGTTGTCATGTGATTATTGCAACCTTAGACTATGGAAACCAGAGGACATGTTATGTTGACATATATAAATCAGACGTTATATGTATATGATGCATTTCGACGTTGAAAACAAATATGTTATTGTCTTTGTTTGACTATTGCGTACCGTCTTAAGCCAAAAGAGATAGCATTACATTGGTTTTGATGATTATTGTTAACGATTATTTTGAGATGTTGTTCTTTGAAGTGTACATTTATTATCGATATTGTTATTAAAATAATTAACTACGAGGTTTTTATTATTTTATTATTATAATTTTTATTATTTCAAGTTTACCTGCAAATGAATAAAAAAAGAGTGGTTGGAATTCATAGGACTGCCAAATATAAACATTGAATCAAATACCATCTTTATTTATTCGCTTCATTTTGAAGAGTCGTATTTTAACAGAACTTTGAATGTAACTAGATTACATGATAATGCAAGTTCATCATTAGGTTTATTGGTAAATAATATTATATTTAATTTAGATTAAACGAGATTCATTTACTAGGCATTCCCAGTTCCTGAAAACAAAATTACCGACTCGTTTCCGATTTTTCCCACTGACAACTCTAAACATTAAAAATTCTTATTTTATAAAGCTAGCAATACAATGACCAGGTTGGTCCAACGTTGCCGGGTGCGTTTTGACGCATTATGTCACTAACGCAAAATGCCAAACAGGTAGAATGTCAGATTTACAGAAATCAACGTATAGACAGCCTATTTGCCTTGCCTTGCCTTGCCATCGTTCGGTGTCACTCGCCTAGCTGACCGAGTGAAGGCGAGCGCTAACGTGTATAGAGCTCGTTTGGCGTGACTTGTCACAATTCGCAGTCGCTCTTGTCTACTTGTATCATTTCGATTTTTCTGCACAAATCAAAGGCGCTCGGCCAACAGTAGCCGATTGACATTGTATAATCAGACATTTGCATGCTATTTAATATATGCGAAATATGTTTATACTAACACTGTCTCTTGTTACATCTCCTGATATACCATGTTTTAAGCAAATAAACGTAATGATAATAATAATATTATTATTAATAATATTACTATTTTCATTTATTTCCAAAATTAAATGGAAGTGTTAAAGATTCACTTAAATCAGTCACTTATATTAATTCTATCATCACCATCATCATCATCAACCCATTTATACGTCTCACTGCTGGGCACGGCTCTCCTTTCAGACGAGGGTTTAGCCCATAGTGCGCCACGCTGGCCCAATGCGGGTTGGGGACTTCACACGTTTTCCGAGGGTTGTGAACCTTCTTCGACGAGCAGGTTTCATCACGATGTTTTCCTTCACCGAAAAGCTCATGATAAACTTCAAATTAAATTTCGCATATAAGTTCCGAGAAACTCAGACGTCCGAGCCCGGAATGAATTTTGAGGTTGGAAATGTATAGGAGATCTCCAGATTTATATTTCAAAGTTTTCTCTTTTTTTTATACTCTCAAATTACATTTTTTCTGTGCAAATTCACTTTTCGTAATATTTGAGTATTTATAAACGCAAAACAATAAATTCATCATTTCATGTGACATTCCCGGATTTTCCCATATAACCTAAAATATTCCCAAATGGAATATTGATCAACTTTAATTAAATGTTTGCATGTCGATAATGACCTATCGATACATTATGGTACGACCATAGATTTAGTATATGGTACGACACTAAAGAAATACGCCATTTGTTCGTTCAATTTTTGTTTAGGTATGCACGTTCATTCCGTAGTTAGGGCAGCTCCTTTCTTTTATTTTTTTTTCCATCCTCTAAGATTGCAACTAATGGAAAACTCTTTATATGATTAACAATGAAATTTAGCACACTTTCTGAAAAGAACTCTGTAATAAGCAATGGTCGGAAAAAGGTGTTCCACATATATAGATACATGTATAGATATAGGTACAAGGAGCGACATACAGTTGTATGTAATTCTAATGGTGCCATGTAAAAAATGCAGTAGATAACTGACTGTTACCGAAGCAGAGAATAAAAAAATAACGAGAATGGTCACTAGCTTCCTAGCTTTAGATACAGATATTGACGGTCACATTGACGGAACGGCAACAAGGCTGTCTAAAATCTACTGCATTTTTTTACTTGGCACCATTAGAATTACTTTAAAATTCAACTCCGACTTCCTAGGTCAGTAGTTTGTCCTACGATGCAGTAAAGCCATTTCCGGAAATCCGGAAATCTAAAAAGTAATTAATCAATATTTGGTGGGCTTAACAACTCTATGTCGCTACTTGTAGGTATGTCTATGCATGTATCTATATTTGTGGAACACCTTTTTCCGACCATTGGTAATAAGGCAAAACATTGACTAATGACGCTTGGACCACTATTCTTGAAAAGCAGCGATATCTTTATTCTCACCTTCAAAGAAACCAAAGCCGGGACTTTAAGGAGGTTCCCTCTTAGTCGCAGAACGGATAGTTTGACAAGATGCTTGAATGCCTCTGAGGATATCACCGTCAGTTGATTGTCGCTAATGTCGAGATACGTAAGGTTCACAATGCCCTGTAACAATGAATGTTTTACTTCACGTGTCGACTCCACTTTAATCTCATGAGATTAGTTGAGAATTGTGTTATCGAAACTTACGTTCATAAAGTAACTGGGACTTGATCTATCAGGCCACTCGGCTGCGTAAGGTATTTCGTAATTTGATGTAAATTTGAACATTATATAGCGACTTTTTTAAATAGGAAATTTCTTATTTTTCCCGGTTTAGCAGGACATGGAGTGACATCATAGAACAATAAATACAGTAGAAGTCCTTAGTTTGCGTGACCCATACGCCAACAGTTGGCAGAGTCCCGCAAACTTGAGCACAGTCCTCCAGTGTCGCTTTCTACATTATGGTTGTATCAATTGTCTCGCGCGAAACCTCGAAAAATCGTAGAAAAATACCTTTTTTCGCTACTTTGGAGTACAAAAATGATAGCCGACAATAGGTCATATTGTCTTTGGTGATGTTCTGTATTAGGTCTTATTATATTTTAACAAATTTTAAATTTTCTGTTTATCGTAATAATTTTGTTGTTACAAGAAACGAAAGTAAATTTTGTACGGTTGCAATATAGTCACTTCTTTTTTGGAGAATTAAATAACCATCTCAAACTTGTCGTCGTTTAGTTATTAACCGCTAGATGGCAGCACTTTGATTGAAATTTCAATATAAAATCAAAACGTCATAACTTGCAACAATGTCATGATGGCATGGTACTGAACTTTCAACGATATGCCAACAGAGAAGGATTTTGATATATTTTTGCATGTACTCTTGCCTCAGGACCTTATTACTAACATCACAAACAACGATATTTGCTCCATGGCTTTTTATAAAAAATAATAAATTTACCGCACAAAGTTATCACCAGTTTAACAAAAGTTGAAGTTTACGACGGTAGTAATATAGTCCTGATACGTTGTTAGTACTTTACAAATAACCCTGTATGACATATACAGGGTTATGAAATGAATGGCTAAATGTGTCAAACATCATTCAACATTACCTTTAAGTATTATCTTACGACATTTAAAGCAATAAATTAATTTAATTGATATTTCTCCCGCTCCTCCGCACATAAAAGGTGTGAACTATCTCAACTGGTCAGACATTATAATCAGACCTGATAAATTGTATATTGCCATCTCACCTTAAACGAATTATTGTCCAGCGTGTGAATCTTGTTGTTGGACAAATCTAATCGGTCCAAGTTCGACAGTCGGACCAGCGCTTCAGTTGGCACTGACGGCAATTGGTTGTTTGGAAGTCCTGTAAAGTTATTGTCATGGTAAGTACAAATAAGAAGAAGAAGAACTAAGAAGGTTTATCTGTGATTGCTTGCACCAAATACAGCGACAGTAACTTTAACATCTTTAAGTACTGAATTTTTAAAAAGTTTCTTTGCAATGATGTAACACAACGACGATTAAAATTATTGTTCCATTTTTTAAATAAGTACATCTTCTCGGATTCGAAACGAATAGGAAACGGACGCAGGGCGGAAACACGCTTACTTTTCAAAACCTTAATACAATAATGGTCACATTACTGCTTACAGGCAGATGTAAGAAACTTCCCTGGACGAACTCTTTCACAGGAGCTCTAGTGCTACTAAAATGCTCTAAATGACTACCCATGTACTATTTCGGGCACAAATGCCATACATAAAACCTCACCTAAAGCCAACAACGTAGACGCAATAGCTTCAAAAGCTCCCTGTTGCACTCTTCGGATATCACCTGAGGATATAACCAATCCATGCAGACCTACACCAGATAGCTCAGATACAGATGACGATGTCAAAGCTGATACTCCTCGTAGAGCTAAGTCTAGGAGGGACACAGCACTGTTCTTGTTTCTTGCTTTTCGTTCTCGAAGGTGTCGACCGATTATCTGAAACAAAAACGGAACAGTAAACATTTATTACCATAGCATCATCAATCCGTTTATACGTATAAAAAGAACCGTTTAATATTAGTGATTCTAATGTCTACCAAATTTAAAACTGATTTCAGTAATTCAAAAAGTTTAACCCAAATCAGTACCTACAAATATTGACTCGTGTAACAATTTAATGAAGTTCAAAGAGAGTAAATCTCATTAGTATAATGAGTCGAAACGTTCCGTGGTTAACCACGTAACCTTACGTAAACTTACTCAAAAGTAAGCTCCGGTTTGAGAATGATGGAATTGTTCAGATTGTATTTTGCTTGGTTTTTTTTTTAATCTTAATCAATGAACGTGTTGATAAATATTATGATTTGAACTATTAATCTTTCACATTGGAAATCAAACTATTTTTTCGGATCTAATAATTGTATCTTCATTATTTTAACCAACTTCAAAAAAAAGGAGGAGGTTACACGGCTGTACACTGTATGTTTCCAGATATCTCTGTCAATTGTGGACCGATTATGAAAATTCTTTTTTGTTTGAAAAGGTGCACTCTCGTGTTGGTCCCATTGTCACTAAGTCAGAATCTTATGAGGAAGGAAATTCTCAAATTCTATAGGCATTTCCGTGTGTTCACCAATTTCTCCATCAATTGTGCACCGAGTTTGAAAATTATTTTTTGTTTCGAGGGGTATATACTCTTGGGGTGGTGCCTGTTGCTGTTCCAGGGTTTTTTCCGCTATCACAAATTACTTCACTTCACTTTTTATTTTTATGGCTCCATCAATATGAGAACTGATGATTTTGCCAATGTCACAGTTGAAAGAAAAAAAACGAAACAAAAAAAAATTTTCGCTAAGCTCTAATAGGACATTAACCGGTGTTGGTAAGTTGGACTACGGGAGTACTCAGTTGAGAATGTAAAACAAAACAGCAAAACAATATTTATAAATATATGTTATTTAAGTGGATAAATTTACATAGAGTAACAATATGGGGGGAGAACACTAAAGTTAAGAGGTTGTTTATGATAATGGGGCGGGGGAATTTTGGAGAAAGTAAGTTATAAAGTGGAACAGCAATATTAGGACAATTGAAAAAAATGTGTTCCAAGGTACCGTCTTCTAGGCCGCACTCGCACAGAGAGTGATCTCGAACTCTGATTTTACGCAAAAATACAGGTGTGCAAACATGGCCTAAGCGCAAACGAATAATAGTGGAAGTGATGTTTTTAGGCAAATCGCGACGTTTAAAAAACCAGGGTTTAGTGGGTAGATTTGGTTGGAGGTTACCATAGTGTCTACCAACAGTTTGTCGTGATTCCTGCCAAAGGACCGACCAGGAGGCTAGCATTTGGGGTTTGGTCATGGCGAGCAGATCTCTGGGAAAGCACTTACTAATTCTTTTCTGTAAATAAAAGTCGACTTGACACAATACTTGTAATTAACAAATCGCCGTCACCATGACAACCAAAAGAGGAAATACAAAATGTACAAAGGAGTCTGTAACAGTCCTATTGTCACCAAGAAGTCAGAATCTGATGAGGGGATCCCATGGAAATTGATAAAAGTCGTTAAGCAACTTTTGAGAAAGGTTTTTTTTTTCAATAAAAAAGTTACGTTTATTGCAAACAACCTTTTTACAGGTCCCGAAAGGTCGGTTTGTTTGAAACAACAAACATACGCGACTGGATTCGAAAAACTAGTTCTATTCCTAATGTATAACAATCGCCAAAACCCAAGAACTTGATATTAATGTTTCACCTTATAATAATAATAGCCAGGTGCCTGGTCTCAAATTAGGACATTTCTCGTAACGACGGCAACACATCAAGCTACACATTGCATCTTGTTCCGTTGCACTGAAGGCGATCCGTTATTCATTTATTTGTGAAAACACAAGTTGTATCAAAATAAAGCTGACATATACATAATCTCAGTACAAAGTACTAAAAAAAATCGACTTCAATAGTACGTGGAATTACGTCTATTTGATAAGTTTTATTGAAATATCCCCTAGTTCGCCACTATACGGGACTAGACACATGAGATAATAAAAATCGGTTCTCACGACTCAATGTATATTGAGAGAGAAAAACGCCTTGAATTGGAAAATAGCGAAACCAACTATTCAAATAATTGCTCCTTAAGTAAAATTTATGCGCTATTTATAAAAGTGAATATTCATGCGTGATCAGCCACCCTTCCACCACTATGGAGGTACCCTCTTTCCAACAAAAAAAATCATGAAAATCGGTTCACAAATACCGGAGTTATCGTGTAACATACATACAAAAAAAACCTACAGTCAAATTGAGAACCTCCTCCTTTTTTTGAAGTCGGTTAAAAATAAATATAGTTTCACTGTGTCCGATCAAATATTGACCGTACAAATATTGAAGGTATATTATACATTCAGTCACATGCACTTAGACAGACTGAATATGCGAGCCTTCTTGTATGCAGTAGACCAACTTGTGAAAAAGTTCTTCCAGGGAGGTACTGCCACCTTACCTATTTCAGCCTTGTTCGTCCCGTCACTTGATATTATAAAAAAAAACTACTCGTTCTCTATCCGACATCTGTCCGAAACAATTACTGCCAAATAAGTAGGTAACACTCTATTAAAATTAAAAGACGCATGACGCGAATGAAGCTTCATACTTGACATATTCTTTTCAATTTAGTCGAGTATTACTTATTTGACTGTAATTGTCTCGGACGGACGTCTGAGGGAGCACGAGAGTAGACCAGGCGGATAATTTAAGTAATCAAATCGTTACGATATCGTAGCGATTTCGTTGTTGAACTGCTTTTTCGTATTCACGTGTGACAGTGAACGTCAACGAGTACAATTTTAAAGTCGTTTGATCCAAATGTCGTTAAGCGTACTCTGGTATATGAATCAAACTTAAATCGACTCTAAACGACAAGTCATACGTGTTCTGCCAAAATTTTGACAGTTCTTTCAATAGACTTTCGACGACTAAATGTCAAATTTCACAATCCAAGATGTCGTTCATTAGTCGTTACGTTTCGATTCTACTCATATCAACGTTCGTTCAAGTGATACGTGAACACCCATTTTGGATAGGACTTCGATCGAACGAATGATATTTTGATAGTTTGAACTTACGTGAATCGCACTACAGGTATAACATGTTTAACATGTGTTCAGCTCGACGTGCTGCTGACTGTACTATAGTATCAGAATACCGGAAATTACTCCGGGACACTATCCAAAACACCCAGAATTAAATCCATTTATTCTACCGAAAATCGAACTTGGGACCTCTTCGTCCAGCACCCAGAATAAGAGCGAGGTTGAAAAAATGTCAATTTGACAATTTCATTTTCGAACATTCGTTCTCGAACTACGAATAATCGAAGTTGAAACTTTCGGGGACATGTTTGGTACATTCATCAATACCTATTCTATACGGGCTATGGATTTCAACGTGAATGCTCTAGTCGTACTTAGCGTTAATACTAAATGCTGTACTAAATTGAAGTGCTAGTCCATTTGTTTAGGTACTTAACAAACAAAATGTAAACAATCTTGAGATGTCTATTTAATGAAATATACATTATAAAATGATTTTTTACTTACCTTCAAATACAAAATACTTAGCTTCGTATGAAATTGCATGCCTATTTCTATACCTATTGTTTTGTAAAGTATATGTTTCAATAAAAAGATATATCAAGATTGTTTACATTTAATTAAGTACCTAAACAAATAATAATAATAACGCACACACTCAACATAGCCCCGCACTAGGGAAACCCTGTGTCGCGGGTGCCATGGACACACACATAGACAATCACAAATTACACCCAAACTCACGAGAGAAATAAATGTAGGCCATACAAACATTTCTCCCGGCCGGGGAATCGAACCTGGGACCTCTGCGTGGCAGTCCGGCATGGTAACCGTTCGGCCACGGAGGCAGTTGGCAAATGGACTACAGCTATATAATTTTTTTTAATATGTAATAGACATACGCTTGGCTACGATCTCAACTGATGTTAAGCGATAATGTGACGGATGATGGCATGCGTTTGCCAAAATAATGCCTATTCAGCCTTGAATGGCCCCAAAACACTAAAAAACCTTTTCGGGGAACACAGATGCCGATAGAGTTTTCCATTCCTTTGCCATACGTATCGGAAAGGAGGAAGCAAAGCGCTTAGTGCGAATGAGTGGCATATCAACGACATAAGAATGGAGTGTTCCGGACCTTCTGGTCGAAGAAGGAACGGTGAGCGTGGAACTAAATTGAAAAGTTCTTGTTCGTTACAGTATATCGTTAGCGAACAAAAATCCTTTTTTTAGTTTTTGACTGATATTTTTACTTTTTTATTTGTTACTAAGTGACGGGGCGAACAAGTCATGCGATTGCTAACAAACGACATGCCTGTCCATGGCAGTTACAGTGCCACTCAGAGCTTTAAATCGCAAATATCTGAGGGGTACTGACACTGCACCCGTCACCCTGAGACAGAAGATAACAAGTCCCATGTACTTGTAATTTCGCCAGCACCCTTCAAAACCGAAACACGATATTAATTACTGCTTGACGGTCGAAATAGGTAAGTTAGAAGTGCTTCCCTGGACAAACTCTTTCGCAAGGAGCTCTACTGCTTTTAAACTACTATTACTGCTTCTTTTCACACATGGCGTTTCATTCGCGACAAAACTGGATCTGTTTAGCGACTTCTGATGCAGGTACAATTAAGTAATTACTTAATTGTATTGAATAATTATTCAAGTTAATCTAATGTGGTTACTAGTGGTAATGAGTTTGTTTATTTAAATCAAATAATTGCTACACGTTCGCTTAATGGGCCCACAACTACGTATTGCGCAATATCTGCATTTGAATCCTCGGTGACACCAAAACGCCCTGAATAATTTCTTGTCCCTAAAACCTTCAACTGGGAAAGCATTTAACCGAATAATTACCAGGAATTAGAGACAAGTTGACACAAATATTTTGA